TCTCTGCGGGTCGCATCTCGGCCCCCCTGCTGGCGCGCAGGCGCAGCCCCCGCCCCGAGGGGTCGCGCGGGGCACCGCTGCCGCCCGCCCGGAGGAGGCCGCCCGCTTCGCCCCTCGGAAGGCGCGGGCTCGAGGCCGCAGGGCGAGGACGTGGCGCGAGGACGCGGCCGCCCGGGGCCGCCGGGCCCGTCTCTGCTGACAGCGGCAGAAGGGGGAGGGGGGGGGCGGCACCTCCGGCCCTGCGCCGCCGCCGTCGTCGACCTGGCGCCAGCGCGGCTTGCCGCCCGGCCCAGCGGCGCCGGCAGCATCCGCTCACCCTTCAGGGCGTCCCAGGTTGGCCGCGGCGCCGCGGGGGGCCGCGGAAGAGCCTCGCCACGCGCGTCTGCTCCGCGAGCTGCCCTCTGGCACCTGCACAGCGGGCGGCCCCGTTCAAAGCAGCGCGAGCACGCGCGAAAGAAGGGGCACTTCTTCGGGTCGCACTTGGCCGCGTTGGAGGCACACTCGAAGCAAACGCCGTTTCCCTCTGTCGTCTACGAGGCAAGCCCCACGCCCTGACCCGGCCCCTGCCCGCCTCCTCTGCGCGCTCCGTCCCTGCGCACCTGCGTCGGTGGGCCGAGCTTTCACTGCCGCGGCAGCCGCGGCGCCTGCCGAGGCCGGCGGCAGGCCGCCAGGCCGGCGAGGGCCAGCGGCGTCGCGAAGCAGCGCCCCTCGACCACTGGGTCGCCCATCGCCCTCCAGAGCGCCGCATGGAACTGCATGCGCTCTTGCGGCACCAGCTACCCCGCCTGCTTGCGCATCTGTCGCCGGCGCTGCAGCGCCCGGTGCCACGGCGGGCGCGCGGCCGCGTCGCCCCGCGCGTACCTCGCCACGAGGCCCCAGACGCGCCCCCCCGAGCACGTAGTCCAGATGCGCCCGGTGCTGCTGTGGGCCCCCGCCTTGCAACTGCCGCCAAGTCGCGCAGCTCTGACCGAGCACGAGGACACCCGCGCCCAAGAGCACGATGCGCTTCCGCAGCGCCTCTGGGCCCTGCGGGGGCTCGACCTTGCGGGTCGCTGCCACCCTGACCAGCGTCGCCCCCGAGCTGGACTCAATAAGCTGGGGTCAGGAGGTGGGGCCACTCGCCCCCCCCGCAGAGGAGAACGCCGCGAGCGTCTCCGCCCTGACGTCGCCCCGCTCGATCTCAGTCTGCCTGGCCTCGAGGCGGGATTTTGCCGGCACCTGACCTTCCTCGAGATTCCAGCGCGTCGACCTTCTCGACGTTCAGCCGCATCGCCTGTCGATCGGATACGCCGAGTGGCTCGACCCCCCGGCGCGCGTCGGCTTCGCCCTCCATCTCCAACCGCTACTCGACCCGCGCGCGCGCGCCGCCCGCCAGGCGCGCCCGCGCGCCGCCGCCGTCGCGCGCGGCCCCATGCCAGCCGCCGCGCCCAAATCGAGCGCGTCCTTGGCGAACCCCCCGACGCCCGCCTCAGAGTTCATCAGAGCGGAGAACTGACCCCGTCATTCCGCCCAGCGGCACGCCCCCCGTCGTGACGAGTAAGCGCAGGTCTGAGCTCGGCAACGCGAGCGCCTCGTCATCCTCCTCCTGCGCGAGTGCCCTCGGCCGCGCGCTGTCGAACGGCCCCACGCACTGGGCCTTGCAGACGACACCAGGGGTGGACAGCGCAGGAGACCAAGCGGACCTCAGTCTAAACCGCGTGAGCCAAACGGTCGCGGACAGAGCGAAGTCCCCCCAGGCTCGGCAAAGCGATGGCGACGCGCTGCGCGGCCCCGAAGCCCTGCCCGCCCGCCGCAAGACCCCCCCAGCGCGGCGACGCCCGCCCCCGCAAGGCCCCCCCCACCCGTTCGCGGCGGACGGAGTGGCCCACGGGCGGGGCGGGCGTCGTCGACGCGGGGGGGGGGGCACCTGTCGACGGGGGATCGGGGCCACCCCGTGCGCGCGCAGAAAGGGTCGTCACCTGGGCGCGCCCCTGGCAAGCTCCACACGCGCGGCGCCCCGCCGGGCCGCGCCGCGGCGGGCGCCCTGCAAGCGCGCGAGCGCGGCCCCTGACCGGATCGCGCCCGAGCGCGGCCCCAGTCCCAAAGGGTCGCGAAAAAAAACGCAGCTGATCGCACCCTCTCGGCTGCTCCGTCGCCGGGCCGGCGCGCTCCTGTCTCGACGGGCCGCGTGGAGGCCGCCGCCGGTGCCCCCCTCAGCAGGCTGCTTTTTCTTGCGCGGTCTCTTAGGACCCATCGGGGCTAGCGGAGCTCGATGAACTGTCCGAGCCCTCGCCCTCGCCCCTTGTCGGCTGCCGTCGCCGTCTCGGCCGCGATGCGACGCCGGCACACGCGGCAGACCATGTCATGCACGTTCGGGCCCGGAGCGTCGGCGAGGTCGAGTTCAGCGGCGACATGCTGGACGCCCAGCCACGGCCCCCGACATCGCGCAGCCTGGACATATTGCTTCGCGCGCACGATGAGGTAGCTGCCAGCCTCCTCGGCGCCTTTGCTGTCGATGGGGAGGCCACCGCTCTCCGGCTGAACCATCGCCCAGCTGCCGTCGCCAGCGCTGTCACAGCTGCCCTCTGCCCCCAGCGCTCTCCGCGGGGGGCGCCGCTGCGCCCGTCGGCGGCGCGGCGCCCTCCACTTCTCCATCTTCGACGGCGGCCCCCCCACCGCCGCTCCTCGTTGTTTTCGGGGCGCCGCGGCCCCCCCACGGCCGCTCCTCGTTGTCTTCGGGGCGCCGCGGCCAACCCACTGGCAGAGGCCTCGAGGGTCGCGCCGGTCTCGGCGGCCACGCCCGCCACCTTCTGCACTGAGAAGTTCTTTCTCAACACCAGCCACTTCCCCGGGGCTGGAATGGCCGCCGCTTCGGCAAACCCCACGCAGGCCTTCCGGGAACGCAACACCTGCGCGAACCGCCGCTGGAGTTTAGAGACGACCCCACAGCATCTCGTCGCGCATGCGTCCGCAAGGCCAGGCCACCACCTGCCCGGGCAGTCGCGTTCACCCATCTGGACCCCTATCGCTGCCATGGCCGAAGGGATCGTCGCCCGCTCCAAGTACGATGCCCAGAAGCTAACGACCTCCCCAGCATCCTCTGGAGCACCTCCTGGCCCGTTGCCACTGCCTGCGCGGCCCGGCCAGCTTGCGGACCACACCCTGCCCCGCGTCGTCGCACAGCTGCAGAAAGTAACCCCTCTCGAAGTCCGCGATCTCCCGCTACAGGTCGAAGCCCGCATGTATCCGTACTGGGCCCAGCATGTAGCAATCATGGGATATCACGAGCGGCGGCTCTTGCATCTTGCGCCCCGTCCCACTAATCTTCGCGCACTCCATGGCCCGCACGTGCGACCTCACCGCGCTGATGCGCGCGCGTCACGTGATGCCATCCTTCGCCTGCTCCGGGTCCATGCAGGACTGCGCCGTCTCAAGCAAGGGCACTCTCTTCGAGCAGCGCGCCCAGGCGAAGCTTCCACCGAGCCCACTCCTGCGCCTCCAGTCCGCCGCAAGCCTCCCCTGCATCCGCGCAGCACCTCCGAGCAAAGCGAGCCCCCGCTCTCGCACAAGCCCCCAGCGGGGGCGGGGCCTGAGAAGTTCCTCGGCTGGCCACCACCCTGAGGTACGCCGCGGCGTCCTCCACCATGGCCTGTTCATGACAGCCGCGGAACGCCCTCCGCCGCTTCTGCATTGGCTCCTCGGCTATTGCCTGGCCCACGTATTCCCTCAGCGGCCGCCGTGCCTCCTCCACGCTGCAGTCCGCGGCCGCCGCCACCTGCACGAGCGCCCCCTCGATCTCAATCTCGTCCGCCTGACGCGCCAAGCGCGGGCCGAGGAGATCGAACATGTGAACCACCTTGCGGATCCGCAGTCGTGTGGTGTCGAAAATGCACGGCCCAAGGGCCAACATCTGCGTCCAACCATTGTTCAAAATCGGCCGAACGCCCGGGCCCAAGTGGCCACAGGCATCGGACTCAGTGAGACGATACACATTCGTGTTGGCGCACGGGGGCAAGAAGTTGCGGGCGAGTGGGTGGGATGGTTGCTCGAGAATGCGAGATGGCCATGCGCGAATGCCCATAGCTAACTGCAACACATTATTTGCACAACATAACGTGCACCCAAACTATCGCACTGCATCTACAACGCCGCATAGCTTACACTCCAAGTCCTTGCACAAAGCAGTTTGCACCACATAATTTGCACCACATAGTTGACAACACATACGTATAATATGACGCACTGGCAGCACTACCAAAGGTTGCAGGCTGATTTCTGACTTGGCGTGCCTACTGTATGGCTCCAGAAACCCCATCGCGCCGCTCGCCGCCAGCGCTCACTGGTCAGCGGAAGCCACTGGCAACAATTCGTCCGCCATCGATCTGCAGGGCGGAAGGGTCCGACCAGCGTTCTCGCACCGCCGCGTTACTATGGACCTGGAGGCCCCACCCGTCGCACCAGTTTTGAGGCAAGGGGAACGCGTTTTCTTCTGCATCAGCGATGTGGGACGCAACGCGTTCGGGCCAGAGCGGGCCGCGGACTGGCAAATCGCGAGCCCGTTCAGTGGGAAAACCAGGAGAACGGCCGCCGAGGGGCCAGCGCAGGAAGACCCGCTCGGAGCATCAAATACTCCAGAGGAGACGCACATGGGATGGATGGCAGGAGGCGCTGGCACCCGGGTATGCTGCAGGAGGTGCCAGGAGGCAGGCGGACCTGGCGAGGACCCCCGGCAGGATGAGCCCCTCCTGGCGACCGCCGAAATCTCTGCGTGAACGGGAAGCAAGAATCAGAGAACCAACTATACCAATGATCCGTAGGATGGAGGCGAGAAGTGCTTTCTCCTCCGGCACGCAGGCGTGGTCATGTATCACGTATCTCTAAATATGCCAACACCGGGGCCGCAAGGGCAGCGGATGAGGAGAGGAGGTAGGTAAGAGAGGGTACACACACGCTCTGAGCCCCCGATTCCCGAACGATCCCGGACCCTGAGCGCCCATGCCCCAGCCGCCGGGCGCGGCCACCTGGACGCAGGAGTAGATGAAGACCGACCTCCAGGTGAAATAGCAGCTCCTCGGATTCCCCTCCTCCCTGGTCTGCCCCCGACCCTGCTGACCTTGGCTTGAGCTGCCACCCATGCCCTCTCTCTGCCACTCTGGCGATTCACCGCAATCACCTCGCATACCAAGTCTCGTCGTCCTCTTCCTCCTCCTCCTCCTCCTCCTCCTCCTCCTCCTCCTCTTCGTGGTCCTCCTCTCCTCCGCCTCCGCCTCCGATTCCTCTTTCGACGACTTGTTCGCTCTCTTCCGGCACCTTGATATTTAGGGAGAGTTGGCGAGAGCGGGCGCTTAACTACCCATATCCAGCTCCGCCAGCTTCCCTCAGAACGCATTATTGTCTGATTCGGATCGGATATCATACCATAGCCCCCGCAGGCGCGGATACGATTGAGGGACGGTTCTGGCTTGGACAAGCAAAGCAGGCTGCACAAGCCTGGACCGGCGCCCTGTTGAACCCAGCAGAAACGGCCCCCGAACACCTTGGAGCTTCTGGCTTCAATCAGGAGGAACGACAGCAACAACAACAACAACAACAACAACAACAACAACAATCATTTTACCCGAACGCTCAGTGTTCTCACCAGTGCCAGGGTTTTCATGCGACGCGAGACAATACCCCCACTTCGTGGGGGGGCAGTTCAAGCTCTACCAAATATCCAAACGACTCTTCGCGACCACCCAAACCCAGCTTCCCGCCCTATGACGTTGGGACACTTCACTTCGTGGCGTGCGGACGACCGTGGCTACTACACTGGCGTGGGGTACACACCCACAGAACTTGGTCACTTATTCGGGGCGCGCGTGTGCCCAGCATCCTGCAATTGTGACATACAATACATGACACAGACAGACAGAGAGAGAGACAGAGAGCAGACAGAGAGAGAGACAGAGAGAGCGGAGTTGGTCACATTTTTGGGGCAAGTTCCTGAGATCGTCGTGTTTTTTGTTGGTCTTGCGCGCGCGAATGTCCACTTTACTTTTTTTTTGCAAGGGAGTATTGAAATTTGATTATGTTAGAACAAGAAAAAGTAGCTCGCGCGAGCTCATGTAACATAAATGTTGAAAAACCATTGGTTTTGTGGGAGTCGGACAGCGCGCGCGGGATGAAATTTGGACATTTTTTTTTGAAAAACCATTGGGTTTTTGATGTTTTTATGTTGAAATCGTTACGAAACCTAAGGTTCTGGAAGGATTTCGTCTTGCGCGCGCGAATGTCCACTTTACCTTATTTTTTGCAAGGGATTATTGAAATTTGATTATGTTAGAACAAGAAAAAGTAGCTCGCGCGAGCTCATGTAACATAAATGTTGAAAAACCATTGGTTTTGTGGGATTCGGACAGCGCGCGCGGAAGGACATTTTGACAATTTTTTCTTAAAAAACCATTGGGTTTTTGATGTTTTTATGTTAAAATCGCTACGAAACCTAAGGTTTTGGAAGGATTTCGTCTTGCGCGCACGAATGTCCACTTTACCTTATTTTTTGCAAGGGATTCTTGCAATTTGATCAAGTAAGAACAAGAATTTTCATTTTCTATTGTTTTTTGCAAGGGAAAACGAGCGTCAACAAAAAACCGGATCCGGAGCTCATCCACTTTTCTGAAGCTTTCGCGAAAAAATGATGAAAATGTAGCTGCGGCCTAGGCGCGGCGCAGAGGTCGCGCACCAGGGGTCCCAACAATAATAATTCTTTAGAAGGAATAATGTTCAACAACAACAACAACAACAACAACAACAACAACAACAATCATTTTAAGACTGTTCGTTCCTATCTGCTCGAGCGTCATTCAGCGTGCATTTCCCGAACCCTCGATGCCCGACCACTTCGTCTTCGATCATACCACTTGTGGTGGGTAAATATTGCTTCGTGATTTCTGAGTGATTAGCCAGGCAGTTTCCAGCGAGAGAGCGATTCCAAAGTAAATTTGAAGATGTCCCCAGCGAACGCGCGATTCCTGAATGGCAAGAGCGCGGGGCCTGAGTAAATTGCGAGGAAGTCTCAGGCGGGAGAACGATTCTTGAGTAAATCGCGAGGAAGTCTCACGCGGGAGCGGGGGATCGGGGTAAATTTCGAGGAAGTATCAAGCGGGAGCCGCTGTTGTTGTAAACCGAAGGCCAGGGGCAGAGTTTGAAGAGGAAGACTTCCCCTGATAAAAAAACCATGTGCGAACACCGGGAGGACCATTTCAATTGAAAAATACAATGTGCACCAGAGGGGGGATCAACAATAATTATTCTTCCGTAGTGAGAGTTCAACACAACAACAACAACAACAACAACAACAACAACAACAACAGCAACAGCAACAGCAACAGCAGCAGCATCAACAACAACAGACACTTTACCATCTTGCGCCATGCTTCCACATGCCACATGCCTACATCATGATAACTATCCCCATCCTGGGGGATTGCTTTCTGCCGCATGGGGTTCCGATAGACCCACACCCAGAACTCCCGCCCAAGGAGGTCTCGCGAACACCTCTTCCGAGGAACTTCAATAAACCTGTTCGGAAAACACATCGCCTTCGAAATCCCTTTGCCCGTGCCTTGCTTCGCGGCGGAACAGAAGGGGAGGAGGAAGAGGAGGAGGAGGAGGAAGAAAAAGAGGGACGAAGGAGACACTGCTCCTTCCCCGGCCCCTCGGACAAACCCACGGGCGCAGGAAAAACTCAACGAGGCCGCTTCGCCGCCGTCGTCGTCGCCGCCGCCGCCGCCGCCGTCGTCGTTGTCGTCATCGTCACCGTCGTCGTCGTGGTCGTCGTCGTCGCTCCCACGGCTTACACGATGTCAACGCGTCCTCACGCGAGCAGCCACGCAGGGAAGCGAAACCCATGCAGATTGTCATAGCGGCGGTCCCCACGCCCAGACAGCCTGACAATGAACCCTCCTGGATCATCCCTCCACGCCCTCGATAGTCCCCGCAAGGCCCGAAGCTGCGCAGAAAGACGAAAGAGAAGGAAAAGGCAGGGAGGACTAGGCTCTCAAGAAAGAGGAGGACGAGGACGAGAGAAGAGGAGAGAGGATGAGGAAGAGGAGGAGAGGCCAAAAGGAACACGCACCCCGTCGGGAAGGGCCGCAATTAATTTCGCTCCTCTTTGGGAGCCTTCCTAAGGCCTAAGTCCCCCAGGGGCGGGCCTGAGCAAAAAGGGAAGAGGTATCGAACAGGAGCGTTGTTGTTGTTGTCGTTGTTGTTGTTGAACTGCCACTGCTGAAGAATAATTATTGTTGATCCACCCCTCCGGTGACGATTGTGTTTTTCAATTGAAATGCTTCCCCAGGGGCTCGCACCATGTTCTTTGATCCGGGAAAATCAAAGGGCTCAAGCTGGGCCCCTGGCCCCCGGTTTACAAGAACAACAACGGCTCCCGCCTGATATTTCCTCACAATGTATTCCCAAATCGCGCTCTCGCGCGGGACTTCCTCACAATTCATGTACGCATCGCGCTCTCGCGTGGGACCGCCTCGCAATTGATTCACACGATGCGCCGTCGGCGCTCAGGAATCACGCTCTCGCTTTAGATTTTCTCGCGATCTACTCGGGAATCGCGCTACCGCTCGAGATTTCCTCACGATCCATGCAGGACCCACGCTTCAGCAACCCGCCTGCTCGACCTCGTCGCCTGGGCCCGCCTTTCTGGCCTGCCCGCTATGGGTCTGCCCACCCGATCTGCCTGCTTGGTTCTACCACTCGTTTTCTGCTCCTTGCCCCCCTCCTGCTAATTTCTCTCGTGCTCCATTTTTCTTCCTCCCCCTTCCACCCGTCCTCTCTTCCCTTGTTTTAGGGGCGTAAGGAAGACATACCCCCATGGGGTACGATTGAAGACGACGAGGGCGGGTACCGAGGGTTTGGGACATACGTATTGATTGGCACGTGAGCAGATAGGAGCGAACAGTCTTAAAAGGATTGTTGCATTTTAGTGCGAATAACTAAACAAGTATTACTGTTGGACCCCCCCAGGCCCCCTGGCGCTCTCGCCTCGGCGCCAGATACATTTTCATTGAAAATGAGGCTCACGCTCGAGCGGTTTGGGGGGGGGCCAGAACCGGCCCCCCAACAACAACAACGCTCCCGCTGGAGACTTCCTCCTTTTTTACCCAGAGCCGGTGCTCTTACTAGCCGCCGAAAACCGCCGCCCCAACAAAACCAACGCTCCCGCTCGAGACTTCTTCCCGTTTCACCTTGGACTGGCGCGCTACTCATTTTCTCATCGGCGCCGCCCCCAACAACAACGACGACAACAACAACAACAAAAACAACAACAACAACAACAACAACAACAACAACAACAACAACAACAACAACAACAACAACAACAACAACAACAACAGCAACAATAACAATAACAATAACAACAACCACAGCAACAACAACAACAACAACAACAACAACGACAGACAACAACAGCAACAACAACAATAATAACAACAACAACAAGAACAACAACAACAACAACAACAAACAACAAACAACAAACAACAAACAACAAATACCAAACAACAAACAACAAACAACAAATAACAAACAACAAACAACACCACCACCACCAAAAACAACGACAACAACAACGCTCCCGCTCGAGGCTTCCTCCTTTTTTACGCAGAGCTGGTGCTTTTGCTCGCCGCCGACAACCGCCGCCCAAACAAAACCACCGCTCCCGCCCGAGACTTCCTCCCGTTTTACGCTGGACTGGCTCCCAACTCTCTTTTGAATTGGCGCCGTCCCCAACAAGAACAACGCCCCCGCTCGAGGCTTCCTCCTTTTTCCTGAAGACGGTGCTGCTCCTCACCGCCGACAGTCCCCGTCCCGACAAAACCGCCGCTCCCGCTCGAGACTTCTTCCCTTCTTGCTCAAGGCGGTGTTCCTCCTCGCCGCCGACAGCCGCCGTCCCAACAGAACCAGCGCTCCCGCTCGAGATTTCGTTTTTTTCACGCTGGACTAGCGCCATACTCTCTTCTGCATTGGCGCCGTTCCCAGCAACAACAGCACCCCTGCTCGAGATTTCCTCCCTTTCTATTCAGGGCCAGGTCCTTGTCTCGCCGCCGACAGCCCCCATCCCCACCAAGCCAATCATATCGCTCGATACTTCCTTGTGCTTTACCCTTAACTGGGGTTCCACTGTCCACTGGCGGTCTCGCATCGGCACAGCATGGCGCGGGCATGCGTTCTCGAGGCAAGACATATTGAAATTCCTCGGAGGAGGTATTTGCAAGACCTCATGGGGCGGGGGATCTGGAAATGGGGATAACGGACCCCCGCGATAGAACAATACTCCCCCATGGTGGGGATGGTTATCGTGATGGTCGCATGCTGCGTGAGGAAGCATCGTGCATGAGGGTAGAACGATTGTTGCTGTTGCTGCTGTTGTTCTTGTTCTTGTTCTTGTTGCTCGAGGGGCCGGTACGGAGGGACCCCGATCGCCTCGGGCAGCCGGCGCCCAGGCGAGAGCCCCAGGACGTTCTCAGGGGGTCCTACAAGAAAGTGTTTGAAAATTGAGCTCCCGCAGCGGCTCTGGAAGCCCCCCAGAGGCGATTCCGACACGAGGGCCGCAGTTTTGGGCAAAACGCTAGGACGTGCCGAGCGGGAGCGCCGTTGCTGTAGTGGTGGGCCGTTGGCGGCGCCGAGGCGAGACCGCTGATCCTGCGTAAAAGGCGAGGAAGTATCGAGCTGGAGCGCTGGTTTGGTGGGAAAGCTGACTTTCGGAGCCGAGACGAGAGCGCCGATTCTGCGCAAAAGGCAAGGAAATATCGAGCAGGTGCGCTGGTTTGGTGTGAAAGCCGGCGTTCGGCGGCGAGCAAGAGCACCAGGCCTGAGCAAAAGAAGATAAAGTATCGAACCGGAACGTTGTTGTTGTTGTTGTTGCTATTGTTTTTGTTGTTGTTGATGTTGTTGTTGCTGTTGTTGTTGGTGTTGTTGGTGTTGTTGTTGTTGGTGTTGTTGTTGGGGGGCTGGTTTGGCGAAATCCCGACACGCCTGAGCGTGAGCCTCGATTGCAGAGGAAATGCAGCCGGCGCCTAGGCGAAAGCGCCAGGGCGGATCTAGGGGGTCCAACAATAATGCCTGTTTAATACTGCATGTTTAGTAAGTAAGGTTTAACAACAGCAGCAGCAGCAACAACAGCCACAGCAACAGCAACAGCAATAGCCACGGCAGCAACGACAACCACGACGACGACGACAACAAGGTCAACACTCAACAAGGGTCTGAATCTGAAACAAGACAACAGAACGACTAAACCCCGCAGGCGCGAGCACCTTACAATCACAGCATCTCTGTGCACTCCAGAATAATCGACGGTGGACAAGCCTCCCTTTAGTAAACCTCCCTTTAGTGAAAACGGCCTGGGACCGAAACCGACGGACCTGGACCCGCAAAAATGACGGCCGCGACGCCCTCTCGCGAACCGAAAACCGAGGTCTGTCCACCCCCGAAATAGGCTGCCGCAGTCGGACCACATGGTGGCGGGCCTCGGGCCACTTCTCGGGTGCTCCCCGGCCACCCTCCCGACCAGGCCACCGGGCCCCTGGCCCGCCCAGGGGCGCGGTGCAGCCGAGAGTCGTCGAGTGGACCTCATGCGCACTGGCGCACGTGGCACGACAAGGCGGGCATTCACTGGGACACGTGCGGTGCGATTGCAAGGGGAGGGAAGGAGGAGGAGGAGGAGGAGGAGGAGGAGGAGGAGGAGGAGGAGGAGGGAAGGAGGAGGCGAAGGAGAAGGACAAGGATAGGGTGATAGTCTTAGAAAGTGCAGGAAACTTTGGAGGTGGAGAAACAAGAAGGGCTGGAGAGGAAGGAGAGGGATACATCTGTATATATAGAGAGAGGGGAGAAGGGAGAAACAGAGAGGAAGAGAGAGAGAGAGAGAGTGAGAGAGAAAGAGCAACAGAGAGAGAGAGAGAGACATCGACAGCGTCAGACGAAAAGTAAAGATGAGGAGAGGGAGACAAGGAAGAAGGGAGGAAAGCCAGGCTATGCGTGAATACGCACCCACCCCGCACTTACCGAAGCATTTGCGGAATCGGGCAGATCAAAATTGAAAGCTCCGTTAAATTGGAGACAATCGGGGGTGGACAGAACCCCTTTTAGCAAATCACACTCTTGTAAAAACGATTTGGGACCAGAACCGGCGGGCGCAACCCCACAAAACATCTGGCCGCAACACCCCCTCGAGAGCCTAAAGAGAGCATCCCTTGAATCGCCTTGGCAGGCTGGCAGGCTGGGGGTTCTCTCAACCTCCGAGGCAGCATACCCAACCTCAAGTCTCCACCCTCCAAACCCCCACCCACCTACCCGCCCGCCTTCCCGCACCCGCAACTCTTGCCCCGACTTCTGCCGGGGGTAAGGGCACACGTCCCTCACCCATCCCTCCCACGAGACAGCGACCTCCATCACAGCTAGGAGGCACCTCGGGAACGCGACACCGCCTGAGGCGTCAGGACCGCACGCGTCCTCGGCTGGGCAGCCCGGCTCGGGACCGTACCAACGCGTTCGACTCCAGAAGCCCTGGATCCAAAACAACTGGCGTCGAAACAACAAGTGGACTGAACAAGAACAATGGACCGACAACGGAACACAGCCCGCCCCTGAAAAAACTCCGGAACCAAAGCTTGCTGCGGCCCCAGCTTCTGCTTCCGCCGCACTCCGCCGGTCTGCCGCCGGCGGAGCCCGGCCCCCCGTCCTGCCTCCGCCGGCCCGCGCCGGCCTTCCCTCTGCGCCCACTTCGGTGGGGGCATGGGATGAGGAACCCTTCAGGTAGGGAATCCAGGGTCTGGGAGCCGGTGTCGGCTATACGCAAGAGTGACCCTGGGTAAGAGTGACCTTTGGTGCGCGACTTTTTGGGGGCCGCGGGGGGACCAAACCCGGGCGAGCCAGCAGCTGCGACTGCTTCGTTTTCAGCCATCTGGGGACCCACCTGCGCCCGCACCAAAGGTCACTCCGGCGAAAGGTCACTCTTACGTCTAGTCGACGGTGGAACTCCAATCGCGGATTGGCCATGGACCATGGGCACCACCGCCGCCCTCATCAGACGGGGAATCCTCCGGGGGCTGGAGCCTCCTGGGAACAGTCCTCGGCGAACGCCCCCACCGTGTTCCTTCTCGCCGCTGGGAGGCTACGTGGCGCGCCCCCATGGCAAAGCCCAACGAAACGGCCCCCTTGGCGCGATCTGAACGTCCTGCCAGATCGGTGCCTCAGGAGGTGCGGGCAGACGGGCGAAGCGACTCGCGAGCACTTACGCCGCCGAGGGCCGCTGGCCGTCGGCGGCCGCCACCGAGGAGGAGGTGCTGCCCCCGCCGGCCCTCGGAGGCGAGACCCTTCCTCGGGAGCCGCTGCCATGGTGCTTCTTGTCGCGTCGTTCCCTGTGCCGTGCTGCTTCCTCGGGGCCGCACCGTGCTGTTCCCTGTCCCAGCGCTTTCGGCGGCAACTCGCGCGAGCCTCCCATGGCATCCTGCTGGCCCTTGCGAACCGACGCTGGCCGACGCTCTCATCGGCGCTGGACCGACGCTGATCGACGCTGAATCGGCGCTTCCTCATCGACTACCGCACGCTGGCGCACGCGCATGCACTCCGAAGGCGGAACCACGGGGACCCACGAGTGATGGGCCGGTTTTCCACCACCACCACCACCACCGTAAGTTGGAGGGGGGAAGGAGGTGGAGGATGAGCAGGAGGAGGAAGAAGAAGAAGAAGAAGAGGAGGACCCCCTCCCCCTCCTACTTATGGTAGTGGTGGTGGAACACAAGCCCACCCACGATGCTCCCATGACTTGCGGCGGGAGACGTTCCGCAGGCGCCGGCCGCTCCTGCTGCCCAGGGTCGACGACAGCCCCAGGGCCAAGGACACCGCCTGCCCCGGCCCGCCCCGCGAAAAAGCGCGCCGCCGCCCTCTGCCTGCGGCTGCCCGCCCCCGCGCGCACCACCGGCGGCGCGCGCGAGGGGATGCGCGCGAGGGGCCGGATCAGGTCAGGTGACCATAATAAAGGACAGAGAACCCACCCCGATGATAACCACCCCGAAACGCGACGCCTGTGGCAAACGCGCCCTAAGAAAGAATCGAACCGGGCAGGGCTGTGTAGTAAACGCCCAGGGCCGTTGCGTAGACGCCAATTGTCCGGTCTGGGTGGTTTTTTCCGCCCTTGACATACGCCCAATGGCGCGTCGGCAGGCGCAGCGTGATGAATGAGCTCACGTGGTGCGCGGAGGGGAAGGGGCACACGCGACGAGAGAGCGGGTCGCACGACGAGCGAGGACGCGAGGCGAGGAGGTGAGAGGGAGGAGGGACGAACGGGAAGGGTAGCGACCCAGGCAACGCGACAGAGAGGAAACCAGCTGCCTCTGGAGCCGCTTCATCACGCCGGAAGCTCCATGCAGCTACATGCGGAGGGTGGAGAAGGGGAGGCCTGCCAAGAAGGCGGGGAGGCTTCTGACAATACAGGGGGCTTCTTAGAAGCCCTCCTGGCTTCTGAGCAGGTTTCTTCGAAGCCCCCCCCAAAAAAAAAACTACATAATGATTTCCAACACCATGCCTGGCCAAGGCAAGGCATGGTGGTCATATAAAAATACCCTGCATGGTGGTCAGGCATGGTGGTCAGGCATCGCGGTGGTGATAGCGGTGGCCAACCATGGTGGTGGTATCAAATGGGGAGACCGTGAACCTGACGAACCGTATCTTGTTCAATTCTCCATATTCCTACACCTCCTCCTCCTGCTCCTCCTCCTCCTCCTCCTCCTCCTCCTCCTCCTCCTCCTCCTCCTCGTGTTTCTCGTCGTCCTCCTCCTACTGTCTTCCTCCTCCACCTACTGTTCATCCTGCTCCTCCGCCTTTTCCTCATCATCCTCATCCTGCTCCTCCTCATTACCCTCTTCTTCCCCTTTCCCTCTTCCAGCAAAGTCGCGCACCCGACAGGATCGAGCAGGAAGACGTTCATTTTGGGGGGTCCGGCTCGGAGCGTCCCCCCGTCCTGCTGCCTCAGACTTGTCGGATTCAGTAACACGGTTTTCACGAAGTCGTCGTCCCTGATGGCAAGTACTGGTGCAATATATGCAGTGCAAAATATGTGGTGTGAGCTACGTGGTGTAAACAGCGTGGTGAAATACGCACTAACGTTGCACATGGTATGTGAGCTGCGCGGTTCAAGCCATGTGGTGGACTCTATTTGTTTCCCAAGGACGCTGGCTCAAGACGGAAGTCAGCGGACAGGAATCGTACTTGCACTTTCTAAGCGCACGGCAGCCTCCCTACCGACCACGGCGGTGCAGCCTCAATTCAGAGCAGGAGCGGAAATTGAAATACTGGAATCCAAGACGCGGCCGCCTCCAGAATCACGAGCAAAATATGCACAACGAAAATGAATATAACCTCAGTCCCATCATGAAGAAGCCCACGCCCAGCACAGGTAGACCAGTGAAGCAAGACACGGATCGAACTGCACGACCACAAGTGCATCGACATTCGTGCGAGGAGCCCCCACGGTTCAGCCAAGATGATTTATGCCGGGATGGGATACGCCATCAACTGCAAAGCACCGCTGACAACCGTAGCCATATGAGAGCATGTACTGAATCGCCCCAAACCCGATACAAGGAGAAATACAAAAACCTCTTGAGCACTATGATGACACATCGACGGGTGACCGAACAACTGACTAGTCAGAGAAGTGATATTAGCGATCGTAAGTAGAAAGACGAGAGGATGAAGACGGCCCCCCCACCTTACTCTGCCCAGGGCGGCGCGCAGCGGCCGGGCGGCCCTCGGGCCACTGGGGCGCAGCGCGGCGTCGAAACAGCCTCCAGCGGGAAGTCGCCCTCGGCCTCAGGGCGGGCGCCTCGACTGAGGCCCAGCCCCCGCCGCCGCAGCCCGCTCCTCGATGAGGCGAGCCGCCCTCTCGAATCCCAAGCCTCGGCGGATGGCCGCGCGGCGCGCGGCTGCACCCTGACCCGCGCCCCCGCGCAGCGAAAAGTAGCGCCCCTGGCCGCGCGCGCGTGCCCCGCCACGTCCAGGGTCGTGGCCCCAGGGGCGCTCGCGAGAGTCCTGACCAGCCCGAGAGCTCCACGCATGCCCGGGCTTCCTCATCGCGACCGCCCGCCGGCGCCGCCACCGCCGACGGCCCCGAGGAGCAAAAGGGCGCCGAAGTCGCCGAAGCCGTCGTAGCCTCCAGCCCGTTGCACGGCTCCTCCGGCGCCAGCGCCTCGACGGCCGCGGAGGGGGGCGCCAAATTCGCCGAAAACGTCGTAACCTCCAGCCCGCTGCACGGCTTCTCCAGCGCCGGAGCCTCGACAGCCGCGGAGGGGGGGCGCCAAATTCGCCGAAAACTTAGCAACCTCCGTCGCGTTGCACGGCTCCTCCCGCGCCAGCACCTCGACGGCCACGGAGACCAGGAACGCCTCGAGCAGGCCAAACGGGTGCTGGCGATCCGCATACCACAGCTCAAGAAGATCAGGCGCGTCGAAGAACCTCATCGAGGGGGTCAGGCACATCGAAGCCCCCACCGTGATCCAGCATAAGCAAATGTGACCATGGAGAGAAAGGTGCGCATGGAAAGGTACGGCCCGAGGGTGATTCTATAGCGGCCATGCTTGTATAGGTACGAGCCGGTGTGGAGCTTGTTGAGGCCCTTCTCCACGCGGTAATGTGTCCCTCGGGGCCGCGGACTAAGGGCTCGGCGAGCACGATGTGGGACTCGGAGGGCTTGTCATTGGGCCCCAGTTGGGGCTAAAGTCGTCTGCAATCTCTGCGAGCAGGGGAATCAGGATGGTCACGTCATCGCCGTCGCAGCCCCCGATCCGGCGATCTTCCCCTGGAACGGCTGGAGCCTCGCCCTCGTCCTGGTTCTCGTGCACCTGGGGCTCTGCTAGAGGCAACGCCGGTCGTCATTGCTCCCCTGGTTCTGGTGCTCCTGGGGCGCTGCTTTCAGCACCGTCGAGTGTGTGTGTGGGTCGTCCTGCCTCAGCTTCGAAAGCTGCTGCCATACCTCCGAAATGCTCTTCTGCAGGTGGTTTCGCAACTCCACCTCCCTTCAAGAGATAAGAGAGAGAGCCTCGCCCCTTGCGGTGTCCTCGCCGCCTTGCACGGGCTGCAAGGCAACAGGGAGACCGAGCTCCGCTTCGGAGTGCACGGGGAGGCCTGACCGTGGCTCCGAGGCTGCCGAGCACAGATGGGAGGCCGCGCAACAGGATGTGGAGGACGGCGCAAAATCGATCGAAGGAGTGCTTCTTTCTCGGCGATCAGCAACCTCAGTTCGCTCCGGGTCATCTTCTGGCTGAGCTGTAGCAGCCCCGCGGTTGTCCTCGTGTCCCGTTTCCTCTGGGGCCCGTCCTTCTCGAGCTCGGCGTCGGACGCCATCAGCGTCCCCAGAGCAGCCAGCGCCTCTGCCTCGGCCGCACGCACCCAAATCGCGGCGCTGCATCCGGTCACCACCTCCGAGGGCTGCGAGGCCATGTGCCCCTGGGGCCGAGGGAAGAGGAGGAGGAGCCCGGAGAGGGAGAGGAGACGGCCCGTGCCAGCCCTAGCTGCTCGGCCAGCGCAGCCTGAGCCAGGGCAGCTCGAGCCATATGTGGTGGACTCTGTGAGGCACGAGCCACACGATGCAAGATGTGTAGTGCGCAGTCTACGCAGGCTGAGCAATGCAGTATACGCACGGCGCGACCACGAGGCGCCCACGGGCGGCAACGAGGCGAAGCCTCGGCGAACCCCCCGCGTGCACGGGGCGCCCGCGCAGCGCCCGCGGGCGGCAACGTCGCGAGACCTCAGCGGACACTTCCAGTTCCCTGGGGAGGCAAGCAAGAGGCCCCAACGGCAAGCACCATGCGAGGAAGAACGGCACGTCAGCCAGTCCTGGCCACCACCACCCCTCGGACGCCCCTGACGACGGAGGCCACGCGGTGCACCTGCGTCGACCTAAGACGAGCGTTCTGCAGGAAGCCCCTGCAACAGAAGTGCGGATCGCACGCGCGCGCGCCTCCGCGCGCAGGCGAAGGCATAACCAAACTCATGCTGGCTGACTGACTACCGACCAGGCCACCCCAACCTAACCCGAAGACACGAATTTCGGGTTGGGGGGACGGGCTCCACCCGTGTTTTTTGTTCAATGCTCCCCGACCCCCCCCCCTCAACTGGAAGTGGAGGGCACACCGTGTGCCTTCGGGTTGGATCGGGGTGGTCTGGTGCGCGGCTGTTCACGCAGCCATGGCATAACGGACCAAGAGCTGCCACAGACAAACCCGAAGGTCTCCAGATGAGCATGCACGACTCCTGTGACCGCGCACTCGAAAAAGGAATCGGAAGCAAAAGACAGCAGCAGAAGCACCGTCGGCAAGTCTGCCACCAGAGACCAGGCGGGCCCCACGCGCGCGCGCGCGCCAAGGTCGAAGCCAGTCGACGACCATCGCGCACCCGCCAGCTCTGCCAAGCGTTACACAGCGGGCAAAACGCGCGCGCGCGCGTCTGCGCGTGCACACGTCGGCATCCTTCGAAAAACCAACTGGCTTCTAAGGATGTCACGGCATACCTGTTCCAAACTTTTAAAAATATGAAAATAACAAACAAAACAAAATTATTATTTTGTTTATATTTATATGTATATATACCAAAAACAAAAAAGAAAAAAAAAAAAAAAAAAAAAAAAAAAAAAAAAAAAAAAAAAAAAAAAAAAAAAAAAAAAAAAAAAAAAAAAAAAAAAAAAAAAAAAAAACGAGAAGTGGCTCCGGATCAGAAGATGTGCAAGACAGTCTGACGTTCGGCGCGCGCGCACTTCCTCATCAGACTCATCAGCACCATCATTGTCATCATCGTCAAGAGCTGGACGTCGTCTATCGTCATCGTCATCATCACCTTCATCAGCTGGAAGTTATTATCATCGCGATCTTCGCCTTCGTTTCACCGCCACTTCCAACACAATCATCATCCTCCTTCTCATTTGTATCCTTCTTCTCTTCCTCCTCGCCATCGTCATTACTACTCTTATTATGATTATTACCTTCATCGTCGTCAACGCCGGCGTCGTCGCTGACTGCACATAGCTTGCACCTCAGAGCTTACATCGCATAGCTTGCACCACATAGCCTACACATCCTCAGTGCAATGACTCACTGGATGGGGTCCACGCTGGCAAAAATGTCCGATGCTCGTGCTCCAAATGTCCTCGGACATGCTCGTGCTCTCGATGTCCTCCCTCTCCATCACATTGCTGTTCCTCTCCCCCCTGCTTCACGCAATGACACCTCGAATCCACATGTCTCTCTGCATTTCCGTGCACAGTGCCTTCCCCGCCGACCGGGTTGAAGTTGCCGCCGGAGATCCAGCCCATGGCGTAGATTGCGACCGAGAGGGAAAAGGTAGGCTAGCTGAGCGAGCTGCAAGCAGAAAACAAGAGGAGAATCGGCTGCGCAAGTCCTGAAAACAAAAAACAAAAAAAAAAAAAAACAAAAAAAAAAAAAAAAAAAAAAAAAACTGATCGTTTACAGATCCCACGTGGTGCGACCGCAAGAGCTCGATCCTACAGCTACGTACTCTATGCACGGGTATGTGGGCAAAGGTAGACGGGTGAGCGAGAAAAGAAGGCTCAGCGGCTGGCTGGCAAATTCTTCCTGGCCGCACACACCCTCGATAGGCAAAGTCATGTCTACCCCACCCCCCGCGAAGGAGGCATGGACACCCCGTGAAGAAGACCTGGGCAGGCGGCTGCACCTGAAACTTTCACGTGAAGTGAATCACTGCCCCGTTCAAGCAGTGCTTGCACTGAAGGCTTCTTGGGCTGTAAAAAGCAGGCCCTGTCCGTCGCAGGCGACCACAAGTGCGCTGGTGCTCTACGGCTGGTGCTGGATGTGTCGGTGCTCTATGGTTGATGCCCTATGGTTGGACCCCGCTGGGTGGCCCCTATATGGTGCCCAACGACAGGTGCCCTGTGGCGCCCTACGATTGGTGCCACATGTCCGGCCCTTGAAACCCCGAACGAAAAGCCTGGCCCATCTCTTGCAGACGCACTTTTTGCTTCCTCTTTTCTCAAACGCAACCCCCCTTGCCTAGGAAGTCTCGCGAGGGCGATAGCTTCAACCGAGCAAGCAGCGCGGCGCGATCGAAGAGCGACCGGCGCCCGAAACGGCGGCGGGCACGAGGCGCGGAGGCAGCTGCGCCTCAGCGCCCCGCACCCCACGCGCCCCCCGCCTGCCTCCGATGGTCTTCCGCAGGCTTCCGCCAGCTTCCGATGGTCTTCCGCTGGTGGTCCGCCGAGGGCGCTGCGCGCCGACGACGAGGCCATTTTTCTGGAACGCACCACCGGGCTGGTGCCCCAGGATCGGTCACCTATGGTTGGGGCCGTACGGCTGGTGCCGCAGGGTGCCGTGTGGTCGGTGCCCCGTGGTTGATCTGCTGACCACCTACCAGGCCAACCCAACATAACCCGACCGAAGACCCGAATGTCGGGTTGGAAGGGGGGACGGGTTCCACACGTGCTTTTTCAATGTACCCCGACCCCCTCCACTGGAAGTGGAGGGCAGATCGGGGCCTTCGGGTTGGGTTGGGGTGGTATGGTGGGGCGTGATCTACTGCTGTGTCCTACGGTGAGGGCATTGGGCAGGGAACCATTTAGGCCAACCAAGGCTTGGCCATGGGTCTGAAGCCTCCTGGGTACCTTCCTTAACGAACGCTCCCATCGTATGATTGGTGCCCTGTGGCTTGTGCCCTACTGTCGGCACGTAGCTTGCACATCGGGCGTGAGAGAATCCAATGTTTGGGGTCCCGGCGCTGGCATATTTGAATATATCGTACACGTGATCCTGGCGCTGGTCTGTTCCTCCTCGGGGGAAGGTGCCGCCCACGAGAAGACAGCCCTCAAACCCAGCCAGCCCGATAAAAGCATGGCTGCTCGATTATCCGTCACCTGATTCTGAAAAGCCGCCCTGGAAAACTGGCCGCTCGTGGCCCGCAGTGATCGGGACTCGAGCCGAAACCTGGCCGTGCACAGGAGCAGGCCTGCGATATCCGCCGCCGCGCACCCTTCCACGTGGGGGCGCGGCCCTCTGCGCGCACCCCCCGCCCTCCCGAGGCCGCGACCCACCGCAACAGCACGGATCCGCGCCCCCCCTCTTTTGGAGCAGCGGTGCGCCCGCGCACGACCCGCGCTCCCGAGCCTCCGGGACGGCCGAGGCGGGCCACCAAGACCGCCAGGATGGTCCCTGGATGCCTCCAAGATGGCCCCAAGACGGCCCAGGATCTTTTTTGAGGAGGGAGAAGAACAGGCAGTGCGAAGCAGAACGCAAGCAGGACATGGAAACCTGGCAGGCCTGAAGTGTTAAACACCTGTTGGACCAGAATAACTGGACGAGTTCCCGCCCCAGCTCGCAGGCCTGGCCGGAAAAAATGTTCAAAATAGTGTGTGCGGCGATTGGCACAAATCAGACTGTCCGCCCCCAAGATGGCCCAGGATGGCCTCCGAGACGGCCCGAGATGCATCCAAGACGGCACCATCGGGCCCCCGAGAGGCCTCCAAGATGACCCAAAAACAACCCAAGGAAAACCAACAAATGGCCCAACAATCCTCCAAGACGGCCCAAGACAACCCCAGAGGACCCCATGGACGCCCCAGGACGGCCCCAGGGGAGCCCCCAGGCTGACCCCAGAGGGCCTCCAGAGGGGCACGGGGCAGCAGCAACCTGTCTGGTCGACCTGGCCGCCTGGGCCCGCCTTCGCGACCCGCCCGTTAAGGTCCACGCGCCCGAGATGCCCGTCTGGTTCTGCCACGTGTTTCCTGCTCCTAAACCCCCATCCTGCTACTCTTTCTCGTGCTCCAGCCTCCTCCCTCCGCCTTGTTTTTCCCTTCCATCGGTCCTTACTTCCCCTGCCTCAGGGGCTGGACGAGTACACGTTTCAGGTCTGAAAAATATACCCCTGAGGGGGTTAGATCGAAGACGAACAGGGTGGGTATCGACGGTTTGGGATATACGTGTTGAATGGCACGCGAGTAGATAAGGCGAGCCCGGCGACGGCCCAAGCGCGGACCCGCGACGGCCGCAACAAACCCCCTCGACGGCCAAAGGGCCCCAATGCCGCCCAAGAGAGCCCCTCCTCCTCCTCCTCCTCCTCCTCCTCCTCCTCCTCCTCCTCCTCCTCCTCCTCCTCCTCCTCCTCCTCTTCCTCCTCCTCCTCCTCCTCCTCCTCCTCCTCCTCCTCCTCCTCCTCCTCCTCCTCCTCCTCCTCCTTCTCCTCAAGACGGCCCGAGAGCCCGAAGACGGGCCGAAGGCGCCCAAGGGATCCCCAGTGCTGCCCCAGAGCCCAAGAAAGGACGGAAGCCCGGGAAGACGAGAAGAGAACTCCGACACGACGCGGCAGAGTGTGTGTGCGTGTGTGTGTGTGTGTGTCACATGCTACGGCTGCGGCTCCCTCGTGGACACGAGCTGTCACACGCTACGGCCACCCCAGGTGCTGGGCTGGCACGGTGGCAAGACTTGCCGGAGGCAGCCGGATCTATCGGCTGATTCAGGGAGGCCGCCGAGGGAATCTGACTGACCGCTCAACAAAATATATCAACTCAGACAGTCCTTGGAAGCCAGGTCGTCCACAACAGCAAACCGGTGATAGATACACTGCTTCTGGAAAGCCGCCGCTGAGAATCTGACCCGCCCATGACCACGAAGCATCTCAACCCAGGCCGTCCCTGGAAGCCCTGTCGCCCACACGAGCAAAGTTTCTGGAAAGCCGCCGCTGAGACTTTGACCTCTCATGACCACAAGACATCTCAACTCAGACAGTCCCTAGAAGCCCGGTCGTCCACAAGAGAAAACCTGTGATACATATACTGCTTCTGGAAAGCCGCCGCTGGAAATCTGGCCGATCATGACGCAAAAGCATCTCAACCCTGGCCGCCCCTGAAGCCCGCTCGTCCAAAAGAACAGGCTTGTGATGGATCTACTACGTACCTGGAAGCTGGAAACACACACGACAGGGCACGCAAGAGGAACGTAGAAAGGCGACTTGCTAAGCGCACGCGCGGAAACCTGGCGTGCCCGGTCGCGGAAGTACCGAGCGCCCAGGCTGCATGTGCATCCAGCTTCCGCACAGGCCAGCCATGTCATGTGCATCCAGCCTTATGTCGGGCGTGTCCCCCTACAGGGGGATTTTCGTCGAAAAATGAAAAATACCCTAAAAATGCCCCAGACTATTTTTGGACTATTTTTTAAATATTTTTGGGGAATTCCTCTTTTTCGTCGAAAATCCCCCCGTACGGGGACAGACAGGCCCGACTTAAATCCAGCCCCAAAGTTTTTTGGGGAAATTCGCCCCTGGAGGCCCGGCCGCCCACGAGCAAAAAAGCCTGGCCGGCTGCAAGATATATCCCAAACAGCGGTCTCCGGGGGGAGCAGCTGCCCACGAGCAGGAGCCGCCACTGAGAGCCTGCCCGACCACCAGCACACAACTGATGATTTTTTTGGAACAAAAGAAAATTAAAACTCTGGGAGACCGCTCCTGTAGGGAACCGAACTCTATATAACCGGCGCTTCTTCCGGCTCCGTATCAGAATTTGCACTGGAGAGCGGATCCTGGTGTATACGGGACCCTGGTGTATACATGTTTCGCTGTTTTCCCGGGACATCGGGGAAAAAAGTGTACACCACACCACCCCAGCGTCATCATCGGCCCTCAAGAAGTCCTGGCATTGAAAAAGAGCCCGCCACTGGTAATGTATATGTTCCAGTTTCCGATCCTGGGGCACCGGCCACCATGAGCACGGAATCGGCAACCCCACCCCTGGAACTTCGAGCACTCGAGACACGAGGATGCCACAACCAGGCAAAGCTGCCTTTAGAAGTACAGCCGTCAATCAGCACGCTGTTGTTCTGTCCGTCGAAATTGCACGAAGCTGCTCCCTAGGAGTCCACGCACACACACACACACACACACACACACACACGCACGCACGCACGCACGCACGCACGCACGCACGCACGCACACACACTCACACACACACACACACACACCGCCACTTGCGAAGTGGCAGGAGCAATATTGCGAAGGGCACCTCGCACGCGAGGGGACCTCTGCAAGAGGGCTGGGGACGGGGCCGAAGCCGAGCCCGTGAGCGGGGCCAGGGCCCAGCCCGCGGCAGGGGCTGGAGCCGAGGCCGAGGCCGCGGCCGCGGCCGAGGCCCGAGCCGAGGCCGAGGCCGAGGCCGCGGCCGGGGACCGAAGCAAGGGCCCACGGGCCAAGAGCTTCGGGATCTCACCCCGACACTCGCCCCGCCCACACGGGGGGCCACGAGGGCGCTGCGGGCCACGGCTCCCCGAAGCAGAGAACCCTCGTGCTCACCCTGC